ATCTTGGAGAAACATTTTGCATTTCGAGGGGAAATACTTTATCTCGAACATGCTTGCATTGTTGCTTAGGGTGGTCAGAAGACTGCATTTTGTCAGCGTCTTCACCAAATAGAACTACGTCATGGGCATATTTAAAGTTAACAAGCGATTTTCCTAGTCTGCTGAAAATTCAGACGAGGTTAAGGTTATATCTAGGAGCATGTGTAGACAAAATTAGACAAGAATGGTGAAAGTGGACATCCCTGACGGACTAGGTTGAAAGAAAACTAGAGGTGGACAGACCTTAACAAGGCATCACTTCGTAAGCACATTGACTGCTGGAATGAGCCGTGTAAGTAGTTACACAACATTCAACTCGGCGTGATTGTGAGCGATAGTCAAAAACTAGGTGACATGTTCGACAGCTATTTGTAATATCGGAGGTGCATTCAATCTACCGTCCTGTAAGGCGACCAAGCAGTGATTTCAGGTTACTAATGATGGTCCAATAATGAACCATTCATGATTCCAATGTAAAGTTCTAAACTACCTAGAACTATTACATTGTTGAGACTCGACTTTAAGAAGCGAAGATGAATCAAACTTCCAACTTACTAATTATTTATATAAATATGTGCAAAATTTAATAAGCCTAAAGTCATTTCACTGGAGTTGACTCTGAATAGATTGAAACTTAAACAATTTAATTACTACAAATAATAATCGAGGATTTGGATTACTTGCTTTCTAAGGATTATAATAGGTCTGATATGGTAATTAGAAATGACTGCTTTCAGTCAAGAAATGGGAAAAGGTTTTGCAGAAGATTTTTTACTTTCTCTTATACTATTTGGACTGAAATTTTGCTGTTCGTGTTGGACGAATTCTTTTTGTGCCTAGGAATTTATTTACCCGTCCTAGAATAAATTCACTGAATGTTGAACTTGTTTTTGTTTCCTAATAAATGTACACGTATGGCGGTTGATTTATTACCTTCTAATGTTAGTTTACGTGGCATGGTTTTAGTTCTCTTTTCGGTGTTCTCCATCATTCCTATTGACGGATCGTATATATCTCTTAGGTTGTATTTGTTTTTCTAGAATAACTGGTTTACTTTTCATCCCTTCGGTGATCCACACCCATATTACTTTTCTGAGCATTAAATGCGTTGTCAACTGTAACTTGCAGAATCTTTTTTTTGTTTGAGTTTGTCAATCTTCTGGTAGATGCTTGATGGATTATTGGTCAGGTCATGTAAATGGTGCATTATTGGTATAGCAACTAATGACTAGTTTGGTTAGAAAGTTGCGTACGTTTTAAAAGAAATTTTCTCTTGGCGGACCAACTACTTGTCAATATCAAAACGGTAATACAGTTATCTCAAAAGGCATTTCAATGTAAAACAACCATCTCCATGACACAAAGAACGTCTGGAACGCAAGACACCTGTCAACCAACACTCATGTTAGAATTTTCGATACAAATATCTAGATAATTCTATTACTAGCTGGAAGACTTATTACATCATCGACCATGGAATCAATACCACCCTAATTTCTTCATTTCAAACCATTTAGGCAACGTAAATTGAATTCATTAGGCAGTGATATAAATTTTCATGTTCTTCCTTTAATAGTGAGTCGATATGAAGTAAGTCTAGCTGCATTTGCAGGAAATGTGATTCAAACGAGTTTAAGTAAAAGTGGATGGCTTTTCCACAAGTCATAGGTATGCATTAGCAAATAAAATCTAACTAAAGTTGTTTAGCTAGAATGCGCGAAGGTGGTCCATTACATGGAAGTTCTTCAACTTCACTAACTGCATCCGAAAAAAACTGAAATTAAGAAACTATTTTCGGAGACATTTATTAACACATTTGTGTTTTTGTTGAACCACTATAGAGAATACGTCAGTTTATCTAAGAAGAAAATAAAATATTGAGTAATAGGCCATAATGTTGAGAAAGAGTAATTAAAATAGACTTATAGATATTTAACGTATTTTTATTACAGTCTAAGAAATGTCGAGTGTAACAAAATTTTTATCGAAACCTCAGTCATCACATGTTCGCCTGACCAGTGTAGCATAATGCTTGAAGGATATTATATTGTAGCTCTAAGTTTTGGGAGACATGACATCGAGATTAGATTCTCGTTCTTTTAAATCAAGAGGTTGGGTGCTATTTTCTTTAACGTACAAATATGTTCAATTACTTTGGATAAACAGGTTAGTCACTCCGTCGATCGATGCACTTTAACTGTAGCTGTATGATAGGAGCACACTCGACTGCCCTTACGAGTCATCACTCAATCATCACTATTTGCTACTTAAATCCTGGTGATCATGACACCACAGCTTCAAAAGCTAATGCCCAGTTTGGACTGGACAATATTTATTGACACGCATAATTTTGTAAGTTTTTCATTGCCTATCATCTCACATGCATTCTATTGTCCTGCCATTGACCCCATCTCGTTAACCATTACCCCATTTGTAACTATAATAATCCTACACATTCCCGCTTACTCCACTAAACATCTTTCCATCTTTACATTCTAAATGCTCATAGTTTATTTGAAAGCGCGTAATTTTCTCCATAACAGTTAACTATGTTGCATTGATGCCAAACCCATAAGTTGTAACAACCAGACAAACTCATAAAATAAATATTGTTCGTGTCGAGGATGACTATGATTACGTCTACCAAACAAATATATTTCATGAAATAAATCATCATACAAAAAATGCGCCAGCGATTCGGTACACATCTGTTTGACCGTTAAGACCATTGTATTTAATATTCGATGAAGTATCGAATAATTTTAGCCTAAGTGAATCGAATAGCAGTTCATAGTATTGTAGGAAATCGATACCGAGAACAGCTATGAGAACATCAGCAAGAATGAGCGATCACAGATACTGTCATCGATTATTCAGGTTGATCTTTGGCTGTCGTGGACTGTGGGTAGGAATGACAGAGCCATTCGCATCGCGTAGTCGAGACGTTGTAGCTTTAGACTTGCTGCTGCCAGATGATACGAAAGGAACTTTTCCACGTGTCCACTAGGTACCTAGCGTAAGTGCGATAATCGTGCACGTATAATAGACGACCAACCTGAGGTGAGAGGAAGGAAGCAGGTGGAAATATAATGACCTACACCACGGAGTCTATATTATAATCAGAATTTTCATCATTCGATACGTTGTTATTAAGAGATTTCAATAAAATAAGCAATAAAAATGGGGATAAATAAATAAAATATTAAAGATTCCCATTGTGGAAATTAGAAAAACACATAAGCGATTAGATTGTCATCAGGCTTTACTCTAATATATATGAATAGTTATATGAGAATGTTAGACTAATCAAGACAGTTTGAGTCAGTAATCACAATGAAATGAAATAGATTACGTCACTACACATAATAGACAAAAGTACAAGTTGATAGTAGGAAGAAAAATAAAATAAAATACCATAACAAAAGTATTATCAATAGTAGGTCAAACGTGGATAAATAGACTTAACATCATCATTACAAAACATTAAAACCATTACGCAATAGGAAGTGTGTAAACCATCAGATTGTCATATTTGATTTTATTTTTCGTACTATTATCAGTTCACCTGTCTTCCTAATTTCAACTTCTGCTTTTGCCTATTTTAACGTGTAATGACTTAATCTATTTCATTTTCATTGACTCGAAAAACCTTGATTTGTTGTGTAGGAGTATGTTGGAAGAAAGCTAGGGGCGGCCAGACCAAAACATGGCAGAAAGCCATGAAGTCACTGACAAGTGGATTGAGTCATGTTGGTGGACGTAGACTAACCTGGTTGGGGTCCGCGAGACAATATTAATCGATGGTTAGAGACCTTGAACGACATGGCTCAAAATCGTTTGCAATGGCGCAAATGCATTCACTTTTGCGTGTTTTTGTTTTTTCACGTTTGCGAGCATGGGCTGATCAGTTGACATTGAGATTTCAATTTCCACCAGGAACATCCATGGCTGTGATTGGCTGCTGTATATTTTAGTGTGCTATTTTCTTAACTGTCCCAGGGACGTTTCTATGTTGTATAAATAAACGAGAGTTGTATGCTTGATTGTACTGTGATTGCTGGGTGTTTGTAGAATATAATTACTACGCTTACAAAGCCTTTTTACTCTATTTGGGGATTCAAGGTAGCCTACCTGGACGCTGGTAAAAGTCTGGTTCGCGTTTATTGACTAAGGTAAACTCGTAATAGCCTCAAGCATACGTACTGACGAGCGTAACATTAACGTAGCCAGTCAAAAACATATTCCGACATAGGACGATAGTTCGTGGACGGAGCAACGATTACTTGTGATAAATTTGTGATCCGAATCCTCAACGGTGAATCCAATCCAGTGACACCAATTTACTAGTAATAACAACACGAGTTGTATAATGATAGAAATGTACTGTCGATTACGAATACAACACATGGTGACATATGCATCCCATTTGACATCTTTTATTCATATAACGATACGTGAGTTAATAGGAATTTCTCAAGGAAATTTATTCTTTAGCTTAATGTAGGTTATTGATTTACTGGCATATCATACAAACTGAAGTGACCGACTATATGATTCGAAAATCTCCCCCACTTTCGAACTATTCGTGATATAGTGAGCCAATCACCTAACATAAAAACAACATGGAAATAATGTCTCTTTTATACAGAACCAATTAATATGACCGATTGCTGGTATAATAACCCAATATCAAATTTGTCACTTTTACGCAAATAGACATAAAATTATTGAGTGTACTTAACAGTAATTCCTTTTCCTTCATAGCTTTACAGTTGAAATCTTTTATACAATGAAAAAAAACTCTTAATTTACACGACTTTATAAGGTTCCATGCTAAAATACAATCTGTTTATTTCCGTTTCAAATCAACCTTGAAATAATGATCCATATGCAACAGTTTTATCACAAGATTTTTCTGACGAGAGGGAGAAATCAATCACAAATAGAGATTTTCCTGTTCTTCATTTACAACTGTTGATATTCAGCGTTTTCATCATGTGTCGAACTTGTTCACATACCTGTGAAAAAAAATCGTCAATTTTTCTTTATTTTTGAATATTTTCAAAAACATTATCTATGCATAATAACGACTGTTGAAATACGTGGGAATCCCTATAGTCCGCGTAATTGTGCCATATGTTCGGTGAATAGCAAGACCGACTTACTTATTTTAACGAAGTGTATATTATGAAATCTATAACTTTTGTAACACTACCTTAAGAATTGTTGTTTATAATTTTGCTGAACAAGTAATAACGTATTCTCATATCCTCCTATTTGTAAGCTTTGTTTGAGGCATCAATTGTTATTACTATTATTCTTATTATTATAAGCATTATGATTACTATTATAAAAATTATTTTTATGATGATTATTCTAATTATATTTCTTACCTCTCCTAAGTTATTGTTGATAAGTCACCAGCCTATCGCTCAGTTTTCCTTTCACCTACTGGTGGTGTTGCAGTTGTGCATCGCAACTGTCTATTTATACCGACATAAGGTTATGAAATTACTCTATGATTGTTATGGGCGTTTTGAATCATGATGATAATTGCACAGCAGTCCAGCGAGTTGAATGCTTCACTTATCTTGGGAGTCTCATCATCGACCCAATTTCCTGCATTGAGAATGAATAGTAGTCCTATTTCTTTCCGAGATAGTATCAATAACAGTCGGATTCCGAATACCGGTTTCCTCGATAATTCTGAATAGTTGTCTACTGTTACCTATCGCTGCTGCCTTTGCCATCTCTCTTATTTTCGCTACCCACCACTGCTCGCAATCATTCAATAGCCTTCTTGTCAGCCTGTGCTTAAGCTGACTCTGCTGTTCGTCATGTTCACAGCTAGACGGGATGAGTTCCCGAGCATCTAGCAGTTCAGTAGATGCTACTGAAATCCACCGCTTCTCCCTAACCTTATGGTTTACCTGAATACCAAATGTCACTGCTGTTACCACGGTTTTTGGATATAGTTCCAAGCTACCTCGAGGGTGGAAATCACTTACATCGCTGTCCAACTGTTTTTTTAGTTGCTCCTGAAATGTATTCTTAGCCATGCTATCATTAAGTAGAACCCTAACAGATTTCCTTGTCCGCCTCTCCTACGTCCAATAAGCCGCAAACAAATACGCGCTCGTACTAGAGCATGATCTGAATCTAAACATGCGCTCCAGAACGAGTGGCAGTCTTCGATTGAGCCCCTTCATCCGTGGCTGATAGCGATTCGGCATAGTTGGGTTCAGCGTTGGGACGACTTTGGGGGTCATCATGTCAAAAGATGTTTTTCTTTACGCCTAAATTTAGTGTTTGTTAGAAACAGGCGGTTATCTGAGCATAGCTTCAGCAGACGGTCGCCATTATCTATTCGATCAGCCGCGACACCATAAGATCCACTCAGGTGTCTTCCCTTTTCACTTAGTCTACCTACTTGGGCACTGACGTTAAGTGTGGTCGACCAGTTAGATATCGTTAGAAATCAGATAGAAAAACATTTTACCAACTACTTCACAGATAAGAATTTTAATCACAACTGAGCATGTGCAACAAACTCAACGCTAATCTCTTAGGATATATGATTCATTCAGTTTAGTAGTACAAAATCTTACCTCAGGTATAGACTTATTTGCATTAATTCTGGTTACTAAATTTTTGGCTTCATAGAAATGAATCACCGGCATACATTGTTCTTGGAACTGCTTTATGCTAGAATGTTCATTGATGATGAGAATAAAAAACAGATAAAGCGTAGTTTACTGATATCTATGAAACCACTAGTAATTTAATGAAAGAAAAAATTTTAAATAAATTTTTAAATCTGTTCATCGTATTTGCGTAGCCCCAGCTGCTGACTTGACACGGTGATTGACCTTGAATAATGAGATAAGCCAGCTGAACTATATTTGCTGAGACATTTTTTTACTTTAGATTCCACAATATCGGGCAGGTTGGTTAGATAACATGTCACAATGTACTGAAGTGAGAAGGCCCTGAGTTGCTTCCTTCAAACAACCATGATTTACAACAATAGTGCCTTACTGCAACAGGATTTTAGGAAAGGCAAGCCCTAACAATAGCACACTTCATTTTGCCCTATGGATTCTCGTAGCCCCTTGTAAGGGCCTATGAATTACTGCGATGACATCCTATGAACTACTCACAAAAAGGTCTAGTAACGGGCTTTAAGCAGTCTTGCCTTGGGAAAGTTTTCCTGCCACCTGCCTGAAACCACTTAACATCATAGGGAAAATTAACGTATCATGAGAGGATTACCGATGTTTTAATGTTTCTTCATTATCGTCTATTCGATTCGACTGTCGTCCAAGGCAACGCTGAATACAAACCTGAATAAATAAATAAGTTAATTAAATATTATATGGATATTACATTTCGATATACAACTCTCTCTCTCTCTCTCGCTATATATATATATATATATATATATATATATATAGTTGTATATCACATTTGTATTATGTAACCATTATTTACGTTGACTAACCAGAAAATTCCATTAAAATTTGTTTTAGTGAATGTTGTTGACTCCAGAATGATTGATGTAAATGGAATATAAATCCTACATACTTCGCATACGTGCTTTCGAAAAGCCACGTTGACCAAACGTAGACAATAAAAGTTGACTAAGAGATCATCCAATACTGTTTCTCATCTAAGATGCCCTAATCGTTAGACATTTTGGTATTTTACATGCAAGATATAAAACTATCACATTTAAATTAATTCTCGTTACATTTTAATCATATAAAATAGTAAATGGTTCTTTTCAAAACAAAGTTGATTTGCCTTATGTGACCGTTTCAGACTCGTCCTGAACGAACATCTAAAACATCTGTTCAATGCTACTTGGTTTTTAATGGTTATCCAACTAAAATCAGATCACGAAGTAAACTATGAAATTTAAAAACCTCTACAAACCTCTTTAGTAGCCATAATTCGATAATGATAAATTACTAATAATAAACACAAACACATCTTACATCATCTGGACAATCTAAGACAATGACACGTTTCAATATTGTATGTACACCTAAATCTTCTTCCCAACATAAACGATTATCATCATTACGTGGAAAACCATCCACAAGAAAATTTGTACAATTTGCAGTTTGATAATTTTTTTTCATTGCCTATAAATAGAAACAGTAAATTGTTTATCTCAACGAAAATAATCAAGCAACGAATATCACCCTCAAATTAAACCAAACTCCTCTGCTCAGTGGTTAAGGCGTTCAACATTCAGGTTCAAACCCCAGTTCGGAAAGTCAGTTAGTAGTATCACTGATCTTGTTTGCTTCGGTCTGGGTAGCCTGGCTGCATCTCAGCCCAATCGCAAATTCAGTAATTTGTGTGGCGCAGAAATATTTAGGTGCATCTTTGTGCCAGTGTTTATATGTATATATAAATAAATGAAATGTCTCAATATGAACTGGTTTAACCTGTGCGATAAGTCTATCGGTTGGGTATCCAGCACTAGCGTGAAAAAACCGTGTACGTCACAGAATCATTCGTATCGTTCGTTTTATGAAAGCATGCATCGAATCAGGGTGCTACCAAGCAGTTTCAGCTACGCATATATAAGCAAGTGATAAACATTTGTAATAAAGAGCCATAACTAACTACAGCCAAGTATTTGCAGATACGTATCATTATATATCGTCAGACCTTTAGTATAAGTAGCATGTCGTTATGTGCGAAAATTTATTCTGTAAAGATCAATGAATACAGTAACCTCGTATAGCAAAATAAGACTCATGATTAAGTTAAATAAACTGTTTTCAAACGATAAACAAATGTGTACCGTATACAACAATGATGTACACTGCTAAATGAAAGCTGTTTTCTTAAATAATTAGCTGTGCAAATAGGAGATGAGCACGTGCCTATGAGGATTCATGAGTACGATGGCATTAATGATAAGACTTGAATACTGAAACGTGGAGAGTATATCAAAAATTTTCAAATATTCGGAAGCTATGATATTTAAGTGCTTTCATTAAGTCAAATGCTCAACAAATAATTCATCACGAGCGAGATATATAAACGATTAAAGCCAGGAATATTTATAAACCAATATTTATAATGAAATACCGTTTGATGCTGGAAAAAGGATTATCACAACATTGAGTAGAATGATATCAGTCTACACACAGCAATTTCGACTACACAATAAAATAAACTTTTATAATTTCGATCAAGTACCATTCGTTTTCGTGAGTTAAAATTCAACAACCATTCAAAAGTTAATAAAGGAAACGAATGAACAGAAGAAACTGAATTCAGACTTGCAAAAGATACATTCAGATAATTAGTCAGTCATACAGAACACAGAACCCGACACATGTGTTTCGGTTTAACTTGACACCGCATAAAAATACAACGAAATGAAATTATCAAGATGAATGCAAGAGTAGTTGAAGTAGCTACAATATCAGTGATATTAAAAGGTATTAGGTATGGACATGATTCGAGAAGCATGAACTAATTTGCAGAATAAAAGTATAAGTAAATTTAAACCCAAAATATAAAATTTAGCTGCGCCAATAAAAATGACTTTGGAATATGTTAACCGAAATCTCGGAACATAAATTACAAAAATTCGTCTAAACACAATCAGATGGTATGCAACCAACAAAAAAGGTCCAATCCAGAAGTCAATAAAATAATGGATTTATACCGCCCATTTTATTGATCACCATTAGCTTTACATAAAAAAACTAAGTACTAGAACCGAGGCAGAGCAAATCAACTGGATCCTCATTAATGGTTGATTATGTGCTGTCAGGTTACGAAGCTCCTTCAAAATACAAAGATATTGGTGTAGGAAACGATGTCTTTTCGTTATGTCGGCCTACGCTCCATAGATTGCAGCTCTGATAACAGATAACGGTGGGTCCTACCACCTAAATCACATGATGCAAAGTTTGCGTAAGAACAGTGAAACCTAGGGGTCGGGAAGTGCTAGTGAGTAGGAAGCAGCAGCTGCATCTGGCAACTGTCAGAAGCGTTTTCAACTCATCTGAGACACGGGAAGGAAGTAGTTTGTTGTAGGCGTAACAATCTATAAACCTGACAGGATCCCAATCGACGTCTACAGAAGTCTTGAACGATCGACAGTTTTTAGAGGAACAGTTCAGCTGGTATGCTACCCAGAAACATTTATCAGACTGTACTGTCATTCACGAGTAGTGACGAATAATCCACCTAACAAGACGGAAGTCGATGAAGAACTCCAACTTTTGAAAGGCCACAAATTAATGTCTCAACATCATGGAATGAGTCAATAGCTGTCACTGTCTTTAAAAAGGGTTCACGTCATCCATGTCATTACTGTCGAGTGATAGGTTTACTTCCAATTGCGTCGAAATTAATGGTTTTTGTCATCCTTCACAGATTATTCGAAACCCGAGATTGACTCGCGAAGAGCAGTTGGGTTTTCATTTTAGTCGAGGATATATTCATCATACCTTTACCCTCCACCAGATGTTAGAACACCGCAATATTTACCGTAGGCCAACAATCGTTGTGTTCTTCAACATCACGAGCGCCTTTGATTCGTTGAACAAGACCGTTTTTTTGGATTTTCTATTGAAGAACGGTGTGTCTGAGATGTTTATCAACATTTTGAAGGCCCTTTACACAAACACCTCAGGCAGTGATGGCATACAACTGATATAGTGAGCCACTCAGAAGCGGTCAAGTGATAAGGCCATTTAATGGCTATCAGAAATGTCCTTTGAGGATAAATGCGTATCATTGGTCAAGAAATAGATTCACTTTCTAAGGGGGCATTTATACATATGATATGATTCATTAGACAAATAGACCTACTCTTCTACCCCTGTCTTCTCGCACAAATAACCAGTTTAAGGGGTTAGCTAATACCGCGTTTAGATCTAGAATACTGCACACCATAGCAACAACCACCTTTCTGTTGTTTCATTCAAGCAGCGAAGTTGGGCAGGGTTGCCCAGTCTCACCATTTTTCCTCAACTTTGTTATCGATGACGTTCTAGAAACATCTCTGATGAATATAGGTAATGGTGTGCAGATCTGTTACCTGAAAACTTTCTGACCCTGAGTATACGGACGATATTGTCCTATTGTGTGATGATACCCAAGCAATGAAATTCGCACTCATCCAGTTGGCGACCAGTGTCCAAGGTATGGCATGCGCTTTGCACCTTCTAGGTGCATGGTATTTTTACTAGACTGGTAGTGTAGTGAAGGAGAACACAGGTGAGGACAACCGAACTGTATTTATCGCAAATTACAGAGTTAATTGGTAAAATAGGAAAACCATATTGTAAACCGTTAATTTGCAAAACATCAATCCATTGTCTGACATGACACTGTTTATGCGTTTCATACAAATTCCACTGTGTTCCCGCTCTTCCTTTCTTCATCTTCCCCCATCTTCTGCTGCCAGACATTACATTTTCACTCGCGTCATATACTACTTAGAAGTAGCGCGCACCACAGTAGGACCGTGAACCTGCACTCACTCTCGGTAGTGAGCACACAGAAATCGTCGAAAAGTTTGTGTATCTGGGTAGGTTATGTAAGTGCGAATGGTGGAGTCAGTGATGAGATCAATTCACATGTAGGTAAAGTTAGAGCGGCTTATGCTAATCTGGGTCATTATGTAAGGCAATTTCTTGCTATTAATCTGACTGTAAAAGGTCAGGTCAGTGAGAGCAGTTTCACTATAGGCTTGAGAAACCTGGTCTCACCGAGTTCAGGATATTAAGCCAATCACTGAGTCTGAATATTGTTATCTCCGAAGGGTTCCCGACATTCGGTGGAAATACCACGTTACTGATGCACAAGTTCTTCAACGTGTGTTCGAGAACAGCGACGATAATCCAACTGGTGTCAACATTTTTAAACACCGACATCCGTAGCTTGGACATGTTCTGCGAATACCGTTGAACAGAATTCCAGTGCATAACATCGTGTCCGGTATGGAAGAAAGCTGTACAAGACTGTTGGTCCTTCATGACTTTTGATAAAGTACCTAAAGATAGTGCAACTCAGTGGCTTGAGAAGTTGTAAGACGTGGATAAGACTGGAGGACAGTGGCAGTCCTGCTGTACCTGTTTTTGATTTTTTCAAGTAAGTGAGAATCCTTCCCGGTTGTATGTTTCTTAACGGAACTACGTCTATCACGATCACTGCTATTATTTCACTCTCATACACTCATTTCCATTCATTCTTTTTTGTCATACTCATCATTTTTTCTACCTCTTCACAACCTCAATTTTGTTGTGGCGTACATATATTTCGGTGCCTTATTGTACCAATATTTGTTTTAAAGTAGTACCTAGAATCAAACAATGTATATCTGATAAGCTATTTTCATAGAACAAGATCATTATCAGGAAACTGTGTATGTGTAAGTAGTATACACAATTAGCTTGATCTTATAGTAGAAAAAACAAATACTTGATAAAGCTTTAGTCCAAAATGACCATAATATATACTAAATAACAAGAAAAACGAAACCAACTTGGTATAATAAACCACAGGTAATTCTAGCTGGTACTATTGTCCCATTTTTCATATGTTCTTGTATTTTACTAGCAAATTCAGAGTCTGATGAGTCACGAGCTTGTCGAAGTAATTCGCCAGCAGATAAATGCACAAATCCATATTCCTGTTAAAAAGTAGTACGGAAGCAAAATACCATAAAATCGTAGCATTTGCAACTGATAAATCCAAGTAGTAAACCAGTCATCACCAAACCTTTGTTTAGGTAATCAAAGGTTAACTGGTGTTCCAAGTGATATACACATGTAGAGATAAGGACTTTCTGGTTAAGATTTGCATGATAACTTTCATCATAGGTTAGCAACTTTAAATGGTACATGTATAGTAAATTAATTAACGACGTGGTGAATCCCTATCGGCTGAAATGGTCAGGATATGTTTTACATGTTCATCTTCCGATTATCTCGGTGCGCGATGACTGCAGCAGGAGTAGCTTGAAAGCCAGATGTGGTCAGACCATAACATGGCATCACTCCGTGAGAACATTGACTGCTGGAATGATCCGTGTAAGTAGGTACACACGACCTCAATAAATCAATAGCAACGTAAAACTACGTACGTACATCAGTTCATGTTGTCATACCAGATTAGCACAAAGATTTAATTATGAATTCAAATCCCATAGTAGCAGAGGTAGTAAATGTATTAGCAGTAATCGAAGAGATTAGGATTAGAAGATATTATTCAAGGAGTAGAATCTAGTGAAATAGACTTAAAAAGATCAAGATAAAGTGATGAGGAATTAAGAAGTTTAGGATTTGAGAGAACCCAAAGAATAAATCCACCTGCGCCATTACAAACGGTTTTGAGCTATGTCATTCAAGATCTCTAACCATCGATTATTATCATCTGGTGGACCCCAACCAGGTAGCCTACATCTACCAACATGGCTCAGTCAGCTTGTCAGTGACTTCATGGATTTCTGCCATGTTTTGGTTTGGCCGCCCCTAACTTTCTTCCAACCTACTCCACTACAAAACAAAGCTCGTCGAAGCAGTCGGTGGTCAGGCACACGTAACACATGTCCCAACCATCTCAACTGATGAAGTTTCATTACTTCATCTACTGATCTGCCATTCTTACCTAGCACCCGATTCCTAATAACAACGTTGCTCAGTCGGGTGTCCCAGGATATACGAGCAATGCTTCGAGGACACCTGTGATCGAAAACCAGTAACCTACGAATATCTTCTACTCTCACTGACCATGTTTCACAGCCATATAGAGTAGGACGGAGCAAACTACTACACAGTACGCTCGTCCTTTAGTCAGCAAACGGATATCTCGCCTACACCATAAGTGACGCAGGTTGGCAAAAGCCAATCGAGTCTTCTGTATCCGAGCTGAGATTTCGTCAGTCACCAGGCCATCGGCACTGATGAGACTCCCAAGATAAGTGAAGCGGTCTACACGTTCGACTACTTCACTCCCTATCACTAGTTCAGGTGCCGATGAAACCCAATCTTGGAGAAACATTTTGCATTTCGAGGGGAAATACTTTATCTCGAACATGCTTGCATTGTTGCTTAGGGTGGTCAGAAGACTGCATTTTGTCAGCGTCTTCACCAAGTACGACAATGTCATCGGCATATTCGTTTCGTCAACAGGGTAGTATCACTGTCCTTACAGTTAAGGTGTTGGTCGAAGGAAACTAACAGAAGGCTTAACCAGCTCAATATAAACTTGAGCAGTCAATGATGAAGCTAATTATTTCAAATATCTTCATTTGGTAATGATAATAATTTCAGGTGCCTTTATTATTTTTTAAATCTGTAAAATAATTGATTCAATTTACATATGTAGTCTATTGTGAGGTATTACTTTAGACGACAATTTGTTATCATTGCCTATCCTGTTTGTCTTCTTTGTTTAAGGATTTCTAAAGAGATTGGGATATCTGCCGCTACTAAACGTTTCATCGAGTACATGATGTTCTCCGATAAAAAAGCATATTCTGACAACACGATTTGATCACAAAAACCTCATAATACAATAAACGAAAACCGAAAAATATCTAAACTATATACCAAGTACATGCTTCTGCGTTCAGTAATCTACACTAAATAAATATTACAACACGTCGCAAACAAATGGTGCACATGGGTTTCAGGATCCTGAAGGAATAAGTAGCGTGTGAACCTATTCCTGGTATTTTGCTATAATGGGACCGCATCCGTTAACGTCGCTCCATTGCCTTATAGATCAAACCTATGGGACACAAACTCATGTAGTAGTCTCCTGAGGAAACTACCTGCTTCAGTTTGGGTAGCCAAGTAGTATCCTAATTCACTTACAAACCAATTAATTTATCTGACGCATAAATATTTAGGTGGTCCTTCGTACCAATCCTCATATGTTTAGATAAGAATAAAAATGTTTTTAGAATAAAATAAATTCTAATAAACTAGGTTAACTGACTTGCACAATCTGCTGGCACACTGTACCTTTTCCAGCACCTGGTCTGCCCAAAACGAAGCAAATGTTAAACTTCATATCCCGTCAATAAACAGTAGTTGGTTTGACGAAAACACAATGACCAGATGATTCTATGAGAAAATCAAACCAAATTTTTCTAAAAGTAAAGACTGGAATTTCTGAGCATATTAACCTTTGGACACGACACAGCATGAGTTTATACATATGTATATGCTTATTAGTATTTGTCAATAAAAAAGAGGAAACCTTACGGAATGAAATGGAACAGGATGAATATAGGTTGATAATGAAAAATACCACTAAAATAACTACTGAAAATGGCTCATATATACACATATATACTCATGATAACTGATGACTAAGTAAATGGTCGTAATTATGAAAATAGTTTCAGCAGTAAATCACGAATTAGAAGAAGCGAAATCGCATAATATTATTTCTTCTCAAGTTGTGACAGGAGAATATTTTATAAGTAATTAAACTCCTAGTTTTAATGGACATCGACGGATAAAAACAGATAATTAAGCTAAACAATTACACGACTGGTAATCGTGCATACAGGTATACATGATTTACCCTAAGACTTCAGTTTTTAATCTTACTACAAATAGTTTAAGTTACGAAGAAAATGAACACCAAACCAAAGTATAGTGACTCCTTGTGTACAACATTTGAGTTTACTGAAAAAAGTGAATATTGAACATAAAGTTGTAACTAATTATCTGACACGGATATCAGTCAATAATAACCTGAAATCTGGGTTGCCTTACTACATTAAAGTGGATATTCTCGGTAATGTTTGGATTAAATTAATGAAAAAAATTAACTACACTAACCCAATAACAAATGAGTATATATATATATATATATATATATATATATATATATATATTATATATATATATGTTATAAAGCCCATAATAAATTAACCGGTGCATTCTATGTTAACTGAGAAAAAGATACTCATTTAGATGGGTTTGTTTTCCCACCCGTGTGGTTTAACTCCAATGAGTTTACTGCCCTTTTAGACATCATAAACATAAAACCATGTGATTTGTGAGCGCTATGCTTTTGCGAACGATTTGAATGAGCTAGGATTCAACCTCGAAACCATTTATATTCGTGACTTAGATTACTATCAATAACCTGTTGCAAGGTAATACTCCAAGTTTATATATTAAAACACTAGGACTGGCGGAAAATTAAAATAATAGTCTCAAACAACTTTAGACTTTGAAATGATTTTTTGGTTAGAGGAGCATGGTAAACTACTGTCAGTTAGTGCTTAGAGGAGGGATGAAACTAATATTCGAGAGACGAATGAGTTGTCATTAGAAGAGAATAATTAGATGGCTGTGGTCGAACTCGTAAACCGGGGGAATGATGTTCAGTGGGCAAGGGGTTGTATCACAACCACTCAAACATTTCAGACTAAACTAGCGTACAGGTTCCGGTAGTATACTCTTGAATTACAGCTCAGAATAATATAACACCAATCCAGTGGCATTTTTATTCTAAATGTAACTGCACCAGTTCAAACTTCAGCGGAATTGGGATGATGCAGTTAATAATTCAGTTTGTAAAACTATGCAAAACATTCAGAAAATTATTTCCCATTCACTCTTACTAAACTAATATAGTTGATTCGTGCTGTTTGCACTACAATGGAGCAAATTTTCGGTTTCACACCAATAGTGCACATGGTTTCCACAATGAGGGAACCAATAACGTATGAAACTTGTTATTCATCTCTCGCGGACAATGTATCTGAAATACTCACGATGCCGTTCAACGTAACCCTTTCCCAAACTTCCCAGGAATTGGGTGGATGCTATAGTTAGTCTAGTATTTAAGTACGGAAAGCGACATATTGTGTTTGATTACCGATCTGTCAATCTAGCCAGAATAGAAGTGACTTAAAAAAGTAATCTGGTCTATGTTACCAAGTCACGTCAATTTAGGTAATCTGTTAACTCATGTGCGATATGGGTTTCGGAACCAGCATTCATGATCTAACCATACGTTAAAGATCTTATATACCTAGTTGATATGACTATAATCAATCTTTCTCTTAGTTGTAACTGAATAAATGACTGACTGGTAGTAAGTCTCTCACCATTGTTTAAATGTTTGAAGATTTGTACGTAATTCAAACGGTCGGATGACAAGTAGGGCTAATATATATTGAAACTGATTATCAACCGATGCTTTGACTGATACCAATCCGTATTAACGTCTAATATGAGTGGCGAAATCACAAAAAGCGGTTGATTACTTTGCGCTCTTGTCATAAAAGTATGGTTCCAGGGGTCCAGTAACTTGCGATTGGCAGTGGTCTAACTAAACCGTTTAGGCGAGGAGTGGACAATACAGTAACATTTCGAACACAGTGAACACATTGGGATATGTCCCACTGTTTCCACATGGGAAACAAATCAGATTAATTTTTAGAGGATTGGTCCGCCAACCTTGTACGAAATGTTCTTTTGACTACGTCCATGTCCGATCTTACTGCCCTTTTCAGTTTGTTCGTGAGTCACTAGACTCATTAGTGGAAGAACATTCAATTTTAATATTTGAGAGGATATCTCTCACACTTAGTGACTCAATATAAAAATTGTCGTCAACAGTTTTAGAGGCGTCTTACCTGGAAGAGCAGTGTAATGACCAGCCTTTAGAAAGCTTGCGTCTATCCAGATGAAACCTTGGGAGTAGTGTGAAGGACAGTAGGAAGAATTCTTGAAGCCCGCCTGTTTGAGGAATCCAATATCCAATATACATTTCACAAACCAATACAAAACAATTGATTTATTTGCACTGGACCCAGTGACTTTCGGTTCAGTTGAGTATCACTAAAACTAATCAGTTGTCAGTTGTTTGTGAGTTCTTATGTCCCGTGATTTAAATGAAAACGTTTGCTTTATGACAGCAGAGTTGCTGGATAACAGCATCTATCACATTGCCAGACTGGAGATCAGTTAGTTGTGGTGTGGAGAATGATCAGGAGAAAATTCTAATGCTAATAAGATTTCAGAACTAAATAAACAAATGCATAAGTTAGCTTATCAACTGATAGTAAAGATTGTGAGAGAGGGCCGAAGTGTAAGCAAGGTAGAGGAAACGGAGATAATAGGTGAGATAAACTAAATTAGTTATCTGAGGAGATGGCAATAATAACGACTACAGGTCTCAAGACATGCATCCTGCACAACTTGTTCAAGAGGGAGATGATAATCTGTATGTGAGTACGCGTGTATCAAGTCCCTTCTTAAAGCTGTCCACTGAGGAGGCTGTGGTCACCTCCGCTGGGAGAGCATCCCAAGTTGGTACGACTCTTAATGAGAAAGTGTGCATAAACCTGAGTATTCGCTTTCTGATGCACGGTTTATCGAGGATTGCCTAGAGGTGATTTGAGGTAATACATAGGTAAGGTGTTCACGTTGGGATAGTTTGGTGTGTTTAATGTGTTGTACGCCATAATCACATCACCTCTGATTCTCCTTTAACTCAGAGTGAATAATCCCAAATGCTGGATTCTATCTTCGTGAGCTTTATTCTTTAACCCTATCACCCATTTCGTTGCTTGTCTCCGCACTCGGTTCAAGAGATTTATGTCTCTTTTAAGGAGGCGGGGTGAGACGACGTTGTGAACCTCAAGGTGTGGGCGTGCATATATCTTGAACAACGTTAGGAATAATCCTGGGGGTTGATAGCACTAAGTTGTCTTCACATAAAGTGAAGAGTTGCATTAGCGTTGGCTGCGTCCCTTATGTAGTTTGAACTGGTGTGGAGGCTTTCAGTGGTCATCAAACCGAGATCGCGCTTTGAGGAGACATTAGGGAGCGGACTTCCGTTGGAGATGTAAGTCTTTTGTGTCACGTAGGGCGTAATGTAGGTAACGTGACATTTCGACTGGTTAAGTGTCGAGCCTTTTTTCACTGCCTATTCGTCTACAGATGTAAGGTCCTTTTGCAGATCAGTGGAACCCTCTTCTCTTCCAATGTACCTCCAGATCTTCCCATCTTCTCTTTAGAATAATGCCGGCCAGCTGACTGTGTCTAACAGGTCGTTTATAAATATTAAGAAGAGAAGTGGTCCCAGGATGGTCTGATGTCCAATATCTTTTTCACGAGCTTGTGTAAAACAATCGACTTCTTTGCGCTCGATTCTTGTTCTTTTGGTATGGTCCCAGCTGTTTGGTAGTGTCAAATGGATGGAAGTCTAGCCACTCGACTGTATAACAAACAGTTGTGAGGTTGTCTGAAAGAGCGAAGAAAAGGATTTTAGTGAGCGAGTCCGGAAACCAGCTTGACTATGCCCACCACTAAATGTTCCATACGGTTGCGTGACGAAAAGGAGAACAAAATAAATCCATAGTTCAGTGGTTTATTGAAGGAGAACGTTGGCATGACATAGGGAGCAGCAAATGGAGAAACATGGCGGCAACGCGAAGAGAACGTTGCGCGCAAGAAGTAGTAGAAGTGTTTTTGGTACAGTTAAACACAGCAAGTACAATAATGTTCACATTTCAAAAATCGCATTTTCTTCGTAGAAGCGTTCCACTACAGCAGCCCCCGCCTAGAAAGGGTTTACACTTTCGATATATAGCGCCTACGTTTGACGGGGGGCTGGTCGGCCAACATTTGGTTTTAGCGCGGAAGGGTTGACGAACAGGAAGCGACCAATGAAGCTCGAGTTGTCACCGATATTCTTCTACGTTGAGCTGTACCAGTAGTAACGTGCCAGGTTTGCTGCTCGAGTTGACGTGCCAAGTTTGTCTATCGGATTGGCATGCCAAACCAGCGTGGCTCGTATCCAGAGTCTATAGATTGCTTTCGTAGGCGTTCGGACCAGATAAAGCTGCAGACGTCGGACGGAACCAGATTGAGCGGAGCCAGAAACGACCATTTCGAAACCATTCGTATACCAGATATGTTCGTCACCAGAAAATCGACTGAGTGCATTGGCAAGAGCGTGGGTGATCAGGCCAGCTTTCGCCAAGGTTGACTGAAGTCGACGGTACCAACAGGGTAATGGTCGAAGGTATAGGCTCGGGATAAAAAAAAGAAGAAAAGGGAGAAAAGTGTAGCATGCATGTAGTACGAGTGTAAAATCCTATGCCTAACCCGTGGTTGATTGGTAGTTATTCGAGAAAGCATACAGGTAGGCGTACGCGGCGACCGGAACGCGAGACAGTAGCCTCGTGCGTACCTTGTGAGCCTGCATTCTCATCCGCAGTCACGTGCGGCGTGGTCTGCTGATCTGGACGTGAGATCGGAGTCTCATCCGTAGATAGTGCAGATGGCGCGTGCTGCTGACTGGGACGTGAGAATGAGGTTTTTGATTTCGCTAGCGTGGGATCAGAAGGAAAAATAAGGATCCCGCTAGTCAGGTGGACGAGTCAATCTTTAAATCTGGATTTACCAGGTGGAGCACTGTCATTGACGTGTGCTGGTATGAGACGATCAATGCTGACTATGTCCATCAACCTTGAAGGTCTTTTCGTGACGATAGATCACGTGAAAAGATCCTTCGTAAGGTTGTTGAGTACCGAATCTACTAGTAAAAGAACTTGCGCACAGGTAAATAAATCTCAAGGGAGAGCGACCTGTCGATGTTATATTCGAGTTCACACCGGAGGCAGTATTCGCATCTACGCAGATAGTCGTTGGACGTAATCTGATATACATAAAATCGCTGCTCCGTGGTGTGAAGAAATTCCCCAGGCAGATGCAATGTCGTGCCGTATATGAGTTCGAAGGCGGAACATTGGATATCTGCCTTTGCTGCTCCGTAATCCCATGTCGTCTCCAACAAATGCCATCTTTCTGCGAACCGAGTGGAGAGGAGGCTTAAGGACTGTGAGAAAGACGAAGTAATACATATAGCAAGTAAACTGTCAAACTCACGCTTAGCGAAAACTAAGTTGTCCAGTGCCAGTTGGCGAGGTTTTGCCGTGACTGGGGGTCTGCAGGTGACGATGTGGCTCACCACATAAATAATCACCAGTTAAATTTCCTCGGTTTCGTTACTTTGGGGAATTTATCGAGTATAACATGAAATAAATAGTAATGTAAAAAATATACATATTAATGATTCGGTACATATCTGTTTGCGTGTTAAGAACCATGCATTTGATATTCGACGAAGTATCGATTAACGCAGCCTACGTGAATCGAATAGCAATTCATAGTGCTGTAATGGATCGATACCGAGTATGGCTATGGGAACATCAGAAGGGATGAACGTCCATAGATACTGTCGTCTGATACTCAGGTTGATAGTTAGCTGTCGTGTACCGTAGGTAGGAATGACAGAGCCATTCGCAGTGCGTGGTCGAAGCATCGTAGCTGATGACTTACTGCTACCAAACGATACGACAGAAACTTGGGCACTTGTGGCCATCAAGTGCAAAAATTGAGCACGTAAAATAAACTAACAACCTGAAGTGACGGTGAGGAGACAGGTGAAAATGCCATGACCTGCACCTCGGAGTCTATTATTATAGCTATCTACCATTTCGAAAAGTTGTTGCAAGTATAAAATATGTTAAAGACATTATTAATAGTATTACTTACTTACTTACTTACTTACTTACTTTCGCCTGTTACCCCAAATGGAGCATAGGCCGCCCACCAGTTTTCTCCAACCAACTCTGTCCTGGGCTTCCCTCTCCAGTTCTGTCCAATGTTTGTTCATTCCTCTCATATCTTTCTCTATTTCACGGCGTAATGTATTCTTTGGCCTTCCTCTTTTCCTTTTGCCTTGAGGGTTCCATGTGAGGGCTTGTCTCGTGACGCAGTTAGGTGCTTTTCGTAGAGTGTGTCCTATCCACTTCCAACGCTTCTTCCTGATTTCCTCCTCCACTGGAATCTGACTTGTTCTCTCCCACAGTTCATTGTTGCTGATCGTGTCTGGCCAACGAATACGAAGTATTTTACGTAGACAGCTGTTAATAAACACTTGTATCCTCTGGATGATGGCTTTGGTAGTTCTCCATGTTTCCGCTCCATACAGTAGAACTGTCTTCACATTTGTATTGAAAATCCTTATTTTGGTGTTGATTGATATCTGTTTGGAGTTCCAGATATTTTTCAACTGTAGAAATGCAGCCCTTGCTTTGCCAATCCGTGCCCTCACATCTGCATCGGATCCACCTTGATTGTCGATGATGCTGCCCAGATATGTAAAGGTGTTAATGTCCTCCAAGGCATCTCCATCAAGAGTGATTTGATTGGTGCATGTTGTGTTGCATCGGAGAATTTTGCTCTTTCCTTTATGTATGTTGAGACCTACTGCTGCAGAGGCTGCTGCTACACTCGTCGTCTTCTCTTGCATTTGTTGTTGAGTGTGCGATAGAAGAGCCAAGTCATCTGCGAAGTCCAGATCGTCCAGCTGCGTCCTAACTGTCCAGTTGATACCGTGCTTCCCCCCAGATGTTGACGTTTCCAAGCACCTCGAGGTTGTATCTTTTCATTTCTGCCGCAACTTGAAATAGTCTTCCAGTCTCCCACAATGTACGAACGTTCCATGTACCTAAAAAAATGGTTGCTCTGGTTGTCAGAAGAGGCATCAGCCCCGTGACTTCCGAGGGAACTCGGCTTTCATCACGCGACGTCATAATTCTTCCTCCAACTCCCAGGGCAGAGTTAAAATGGTTTGAATTATTTTTTCTGGTTAGCGTTTTTTTGGCAAGTTAGTTTTTGACGGAATGGGGTCGCCAACCCCATGTCCAACCCTCCTCCTTTACCCGGGCTTGGGACCGGCAGTAGCCCCGAAGGTTCTACTGGCGGAGTTATTAATAGTATTGCAACATTATAAAAATGGTGGTAGATGAATAATAGACTCACCGTAATTGACTTCTTTCGAAGAAACGTCAGTCTCTCCAATTTTAGTGAGCGAGTCCGGAAACCAGCTTGACTATGCCCACCACTAAATGTTCCATACGGTTGCGTGACGAAAAGGAGAACAAAATAAATCCATAGTTCAGTGGTTTATTGAAGGAGAACGTTGGCATGACATAGGGAGCAGCAAATGGAGAAACATGGCGGCAACGCGAAGAGAACGTTGCGCGCAAGAAGTAGTAGAAGTGTTTTTGGTACAGTTAAACACAGCAAGTACAATAATGTTCACATTTCAAAAATCGCATTTTCTTCGTAGAAGCGTCCCACTACAGGATAAAAAATCAGTCGACGACTCACTAAGAATATCTGCTTTGTTGTGTCCCTAGTTCCTGAGTATCGCCCTCAAGGTTAGTGTTTAACCTGATCTCAAGATTGTTTGGGAGCATCACTACAAAGTCACAAATAAGACATATATACTCTAATTGGCAAAAGTTCAGAGTTTCGAAGTGTGCTTCATAGGGTATGGATTTGAGTCATGAAAGTGATTTTGTGGTTTGCCTCTGGATATTTTCCAGTATAGACTTGGCCTTTTGGTTTCAGGAAGGAAACGCTATATTTACAATCTCTACGTGAGGCCAAACAGAGCCCGTTGGGATTTCGTTGGACATTTTTCGTTGAGACCGGAAAAAAAATGTACTTCACCGTCACCAGTGCAAAGGATCGTAGTCTAGCCGCTCGACTGAACCGAGTGCGGAGACAAGCAACGAAATGGGTGATAGGGTTAAAGAATAAAGCTCACGAAGATAGAATCCAGCATTTGGGATTATTCACTCTGAGTTAAAGGAGAATCAGAGGTGATGTGATTATGGCGTACAACACATTAAGCACACCAAACTATCCCAACGTGAACACCTTACCTATGTAATACCTCAAATCACCTCTAGGCAATCCTCGAAAAACCGTGCATCAGAAAGCGAATACTCAGTGTAGATGGATTTTCTACCGTAGCACTTCAACTTGTTTCCAGTAAGTGTAAGTCGAACACGCTATCCCCCATTCCAATATCAAAATACAATAATTCTAGGAGAAAGCGGTCTATATTATGTTAAAATGGAAATACAAACCAATACCTGACTTTTGATACACTTTCCAAGTCCCAATTACTCTGATGAGTATCCGTGTTTAAAAAGAATAAGTGATACTAGATCCAACCGCCACAGTATCAAATCCAAATATGGCTGTAGCCATATTATATCAAATTTAAACAACATATATACAGTTCAGAAGCAAACATAAAAACTTCAATATAAGTACAAAATATAGAAATAATAACAATATATAATGATAAAATCACAAAATGCAATCAAATAAAATACCAAAATGTCAACAGAAAGAGTCCGTCATGTCATAACAAATATATATAAACATGGAGGGATTTTCAAAAGACAAAACATTCAAAAAAGATTCCACACCGGCCCGCAAAATCCCTCCATGCAAAAAGGCAAGCGTTTAATGACACTTCAATTTAGGGTTCCCACTCATCCCCTAATCCACACCGGAAGAACGTGTAGGACTTACAGCAGTACGCCTACCCGCCCTCCAACATGGATATGACCTATCAAGCTAACTAGGTACCTATACCTTCCCATCAGGCCCTTGATTCCCCTATCTTTCGTAGCATGACCTAACGGTAGTATAAACCTTACCCAATTAACCCACACGAACATGTACAACACGTCGTAAAACTGGTCATATCCTATCCGGGAACTACATTCCATATCATGGGGATGAGTCGTCATTCCATCACCACTTGCTCCGGACAGCAGATATAATGAATTCCGTGATGTTGACTTATCAACAGAAGTTCTTGACCCATAGATAATATGCAAGGGTGGGATCTCCAATTTTGATATTTCTTCGTCTCCCGAAGACTTTAAGTAGCATAAAATGGGAACAATATTTATCTCTCCATCTCCTGATACAGAGGAGGTTTGATCAGCATTCGTCATCGTCGGTAACTCATTTGTCACATCAGTGACATCCAGATTATTATCATCGTCATCATGATTCCATTGTGTCAGACAAGTTGCGTCGATTCGGTCTGCACTAGCATCCGTAGAGTGAAACTCTTCCATTGTTGTATGACTCATCTCTCTACATGAAAGAACAGCATAAGTGTCACAATCCAAAACCGATAAACTCACTTGTTGTTCTTCATGTTCCGTTTCAGAGACACGGCATATGCACATCAATAGCATCGTTATCATGCAACACTGTAGACTGACTGTTACCATCAGACGCTTCCTTCTCATCATCACTTGACTGACGATCAACCGAAGTAGGAACACTTACAGTTACACAACCTTGTGTATCCTATATCAACTTAGCATTCGCGACAAGGTCCGATGACGTCGAAACACTAGAAGGCTCGTTCGATGAAGTTGATCGACTAGTCACTATAAGTGGACTGCTCACACTTTCTGTCTCCTTATTATCGCTGTCACTACTAAGATTCTGATGACTACTATTTCCATTGCTAGTCATAGCATCCGAGAGAGAATGATGTTTAGGCTTCTTAATAATAGTATCATCATGTTGTTTCCTAGGCTTCTTAGCCTTTACAGTACCGCCATCACCGTGGCTTAAGCTATTGCCACCGACGCTTATATTCTCCACGCTCAAACAACCGATTTCGTCTTAATTCGAAGTACACAAGGAAGCTATATTAGCAACATCAACCGAAGAAACTGCACTACCTGTAGTGATTCCACTATCATTACCATCACGTTTATTATTCACATCAACCAAACTATCAATAGACACATGAGGTTTCACCTCCACCTTGACGTTATTGTTGTCCACAATGATGTTCCGACTATTCACAGTTAATGACAAGTTGCAAGATAGTTGGCATGCAGGCTTTAAAGCTATGCTACCACTTTCCCTAACACTATCAATGTTGCTATTGCTACTTGGACAAGTATACAACTGTTTATCCGTTGACCGTAAACAAACATCAGCAGGACGTGCTGAGCTGCTAATATCTTCCGCGTTAATATCATGATGCTCTATAGAACTAGATATAGTAGCCCGCAAACATCCTGATTGCTCAGCAACATGAAGTGCCGTGTCACTATTTACACTTGTTGTCCTAGAATCAACCCTAGGTCCCGTTAGATAATTTACCCTAAGTGAAGGGTTCCGAACATAGGCTTTATTCCGTCCAGCCAATCCTGTTTTGTCCTTATTCATATTCACTGAACTCACTAACCTCTGTTCGCTCGAATCCAAATAACCGTTCCAGGCTTTTCGAGCAGTTAACAGGCTTTTATCATCACACACCTCGGATCCATCTTGATGCCTACACTTTTCACCTTTTTCTTTCTTTTCCATACTTAAAAAAGCCATCTTATCTGTTACACAAACCGGCTTCTTACTAAGATACGCATCAAGGGGTTTTAAATCATCGCGGTCACATACTCGGCTTTCAACAGCGTATACTTTTCTAATACAATTGACAACTCTCTTATATTCCGGGTGTGAGTTAGGTGTAAACGAAGAATCCTCTTGTCTCGCACGCAGATCACTAATAGCTTCCGTATTATGTCCTGTTTTAGCCCGATAAGCTAATCTTCCGAACCTAATACTAGCTATCTTAGCACGAGACATAATAAATTCCGTCAATTCATTAAAAGTAGGTTCTCTTTCCTCTTCG